ATGGTCTTATTATCGTGACACTTGCTAATGTTAGACAGATATTTTATTATTGTCTATTTTTATTTTACCCCTTACAGTGTACTAGCATTAATCTCTCAAGCGGAGGGAACTGTTAGCTGTCAAGATTGGCCACATATACCATCATTATTGTCCTGGACAATTCTAGCAATCTGGAGAAGAGTGAGATCAGGAATCATTGTAATTAAGGATCCTGATATTGTATTCAATGAACATCAAATCAAGATCATTGAAAATAAAAAGCATCAAACTGAAAATGAAAAGTTTAGCCGTCATAAACGCACTACCTTTTATATAACTGCGATAATATCTGTAGTTTATCCATGGCTTACATTGTTACTCGTTTACTTTTCACCCCCAATCGGATATTATTGTCGGAGTAAATTTATTACAATAATCTGTGGCATTTGGACCTTTAATAATATCTTAGCAATTATATGCCATCTCAAAGGAGAAAAAAAATTAACGGGAGCTTTTCATGTTTGGTTTTCTGTTTGTGGGTTTATAATCCTAATTCTTTTGATGACTTTAGGCTTGCTTGCTAAAAATATTGAATTGTGGGTAAATTTATTTGGACCATCTTGCAGTCTTGCAAGTGTTGGATGCACGTGATAAAAAAAATTAAATTCGCGTTACCGAAGTGGCTTAAAAATTTTTTTTGGTGATTTTCTTATTTATATTTACTGTATATACCTGGAGAAATTGGCAATATTTAAATTATTTAGAATTTGTGCTGGTTCTAGGAAAAAACTTATTGGAAAACTTTTCGGCAATAAATATTTATTTTAAATTTTATCACTATTTATCATGACTAGATAATCAAATATTTTTATACCTCTTAATAAGGGTGAAATTGTTTCTATAAATTAAATGACAAATCAGATATACATATTATTGTTACTTCGGGTTAAACAATCTTGAGTCTGCATTGAATCAACAATTGATATTTAACTCATGTTTATTTTCACTAGTACTGTACAATACTGATATGGAATATTTAACTTTTTTAATCATTGCAATGTGATTAATGATTGAATATATTGTAAGGTTAACAATTTATACGTACATTATTATACTATTCGTGCGAGCTAATTCAGGTTTTAATATAAATTATTTTAAATTAAAATTTACACACATTGTTACGAGGCGTCCATTATCAAGTAAGTGTGAGAATTAATCTTCTCACTAAGCGTGCTGATTGACCGATGTTTCAGCTGCTCCTCACTAACTTTTCCTCTTGACTAATAACACGAACCCTGCTCAATTGCTAGAATTTTCCCTCCTTATCTAGTCATTTCCGGTTCCTTAGTAGTCACGTAAACAGTTCACAAGCACACGCGAAAAAAAAATCAGATATAACAGATAGTACAGGTAAGAGTTTATACTGTAAACGCTTGACTATCATTTTTCCTACATCTATCAGCTGATTTATACATGTTAAGACTGTTTGCATACTTATCACTTGAGCCAAATGTTTACGTACGTCATTCTTGAATTTCTCACCCCAATATTGTTCCCACAACTCACTAATTACGCATTCCTCCTGTAACAAAATTGATTTTGATGATTTTATATTAATAAATCGTGATTTTTTATTTAACTTGTAAAATCTTCAGCATTACACCAACCATTTACTTTATACTTTTATAACAAATAATAATAATCATTTTTGAGAAACCATTATATTACCATTACAAATATTTGATGCGTTATTATTTTAATGGATAATAATTATTTATGAAATTACTTGGATTAAATAGTAAAATACAATAATTTTTTGATTTTATT